ACACAGTTTCCAATAGGGGCAAAAGCCAAATATAAAATGATCAAGTTCTCCAGAGCTGGGAGCCTGTGGCATCGGGAGGAGGTACACCCGTCTCATTAGGCAGCTGATGGTCTCACACACCATCCGGTGGTCCCGTGATATCTACACGGAACACATCATGGGCCACCAACAATACCAGGACGAATAGGACAACGACAAAACACATGGGATTATGGGAGGGTTTTCCCCTATTTTCCCCTCCACTGAGACTGAGCTTGCACAGCCCACCGCAGGAGGAGAGGCCAGGTCGCACCTGGGGAGGCACTTTCTGCGCTACCCTCCTAGGAAAGGCCATCCTCCCCCCCTCAGGAGTGGCTCACAATCAATATAGAGGACAGGGATGCAGAGGAAGAGGACGCTGAAGGATGTCGAAGAGTGTGGACTGTGTATGGACTTCGACTTTGGGTCTGTGTTAGGACCTTAGATTGCTACTGTGGGTCTGGACTTTGACTTGGGGCTGTGACCATGGGTGGAACTATGAGGTACCCATGAGTCTGAGTCACTCCCCCCCACTGTGGGGGGCTTGGCAGGGGCAAATCCAGGGGTCTCTCACCCATCTTCCCCCCAGAAGGCTCTGTCCTCCCCAACAGGCACGGAGATTAATGGAGGACAAGGACGTTGCAGAGGAGGATGCCAAGGGATGGAGAAGACAAAGGACTCGGTGTCACATGATACTAGGGGATGGGTTTGGGGTGGTTTCTCCCTTCCTTCCCCCCCCCCCCACCACCCCGATGGACTGAGTTAGCGCTGCTCACTGTGGGAGACATGGCCCAGGCACTCCAGTGACACCTTACCCACTCTCCCCCCCAAAGGGCTGTTCCCCCCCTCTCCTCCCCCCGCAATAGGTGCAGCTCGAGACTTACAAGAAGATGCAGAAGAAGAGGACGCCAAGGGACGCAGAAAACCTGGGAAAGCATTGGTCTTTTCCCAACGTAAAAGACTCTGAAACTCTATAAAACACCCATCCTCATGGGACGCAACCAGGGGTGCCACCGGCCTCACCCCCCTAGTGACCGTGGGCCCCACAGAAACCCTGACCAGGGTCAGACCTGGGGAAAGCTCAGGCTTCATCCCCCGAGCGGTCTTGTATTTACTTCCCTCCAAAATCATCGGGGATGGAGGAATAGGGCACACAGTGGGGCGCTCATTTACCCTAATAATATAGTCTAGCTTAATAAAAACAGTAGGTCTACTCATTAGAGAAGGCACCCCCACTAACATATATGCTGGGCTTCCATAAAACAGCCAATTACCTACATTCCAGGGCTACACACACTCCCTTATATTCTATGGGTGTTTCAAAAACCATCTACTAGAACTCCTCCCTTCCTTCCCATCATCCACTGGAATTTACATATGTTCTTTCTTAGCCATATATGGGGCACAACTTGTATTCTGGGCAACGTGGGCACTTTGTATACGTGGGTCACTCCCACGGGGTACGTGATGTACCGTGGCATTAAGGGCATGTAATCAGCACACTGGGCTCGAGTGTCGCATTACTATAACATTAATGATGTACCCTCCTCACCCCAACCCTAAAATCTGTCCCCGGATTTCCCTATCCATTCCACTATTGTTTAACTTGTGCTTGTTTGCAAACATTTGCTAAATAAAAGGGGCCAATCAATAATGACACTGGTTCTTGGCGCACAGCTTCCAAAAGGGGCGAAAGCCAAAAATAAAATGATCAAGTTCTCAAATTCCAGCAACATTGTAGTTCACAGCACTGTTGCTTTTTACATTTTTAAAGGGAAAGTTTCTTCTCCCCTGTAAGAGAAAGAGCTCCTATGAACCTTCGTCTTCTCACCAAGACACAGCCCTTTTTTAGCTCATTTACAAAAGAAAAAATTAAGTCCTGTGACTTTGTGATTAAAAACCTATCTACCTTCCTTAACTGTAACTTTAAAAAAATGCAACAAATTATTTACAACTACTATATATGCAGCAGCTCAGAGACTGCTTATCCCGTCCAGTTTCAAATCCAAAAATACTGTCCTTTTTTTGTTGCAAACTCCTAAATTCAGAACAATGAAACTTGTCTTCTAATCAGCAGCCTCAGGCCCATCTTGCAATGATGTTAAAAGCTGCCAGGAAAGAAGAAAAGTTTCACACAACCTTTGCCACCTGGGGAGTGCTTTCCAGAAAGAATGAACAGCACAAGACAGATGTGACTTCTATAACTTACAGTACTGTTGAAAGTGATAAGCAACCTTGGAGATAAGATTGGTATAGAACAACAGACAAATACAATGAAGGGCAATGGCTTTATTGAAAAACAATAATGGAACCTCCAAAATGAAAGCTCTAAACCAACAACACACTTGTAGCTACTGTTATAGCACTTTTCACTCTAGTACTGTTAAAAAAAGCAGGGCTAAAATACACTTGCTTCATAATAACTCTACCCTCTTCCTCACTGAAAAGAGTAGTAGACCATAAGCTAAGCTACCTGAAGCAGTCAAAATGCTCCAGGAAACAACAAACCAGTTAGTCATCAGGGGTGTGCATTTACTTTTTCTCTATCTGAAAGAATTTGAACCAAAAAAAGCTCTTCTACTAACATGGCCAGTCAATACCTTGCTTGATCCTGCAATGCAGCCAGTTGATTGGGATGCTCTTAGAAAAATTGTAAATTCCCGTTAAACACATCATCACATCAGCCTCTTCATCCAGCAAGTTCACTTCATCCAGCCAAAACAAAATGAAAGAGGAAAGCAGGCTGGATTCCAGCTCCAGCGGTAGTATAGCCCCATGTTTGGCTAGAAAATATATTTGAGTGCTGTGACCAAGAACTGAATTTAACAGCCTACTGCAGTGGGCCTCTCTCAAAGCAAAAGTGACCCAAATCCTTAAAAAGCAGAACTCCAGATGGCCTATAAATTCAATTCAACAATGTTCTCTCACCAGATTTTTTTTTTTTTGGGTCATGAATTTGAACAATTGTAATGCAGACTTCAGATCCCTTACAATGCAGGCAGTTCACTGATGTTCAGCCCTTAGAAATTATAGAAATTTTGATTTAATACAAACTCTCTCTCTGTTCAAGCACCCTAAGAACATCCCACTGGTGCCCGGAAGGTTTCCATTTACTCTCCAAAATACCCCTCCAATTCAATATGTAATACAGTATTCAAAAGGTCTCCAAGTAAATACCTGAACTGTTATCAGAAAGCAGCAGCTGTAGCTTGGAACACTATCTTTCCCATACATGGGCAGACCCAAAAGGGACCTTGACAACTCTCGAAATTCATCATAATCACATTGCTCTGCATTTTGGACTCTAGTCTGCATATATTTTTCCCTTATGTGCTGTTCTGTCATTTTTAAGCTCAGCTGTCTTGGACTCCTTTCCTATTACTGCCCACCCTCTTATGCCAGTGGGTCCTCTTATACCAGTGGGGAGGCTAGGGGGATTCCCCCCCCCCTTTTCCCCGCCTCCCACTTTCCTCCTACTCCTTGGGCCTTTCCTACAATTTTCCCCAACATGAACCTGAATGCCTATCTAATTTTTATAATAGAAACTAAATAGCTAAAGATATGTAACTAACAAAAAAAATACACAACATACAAACTTATCGAAATGCATGCACCACTCTAAGACCTCCTCTCAAGTCATAAAAGCATCCTTAATTATGATTAGGGATGTTAGATATTGATTAATTCAATAATCATGTAACCGCACCAAATCATAGTGGTTACACGATTATTTGATAGCCCCCGGGGGTAGGGTCG